AAAAACCCCATAACAATCTAAAAACAATAAAAAATAAATAAAATAAACAGATAAAATAAACAGATAAAATCCAAGAAAATGGGAGAACAACCATCACTTAATCTCGTACAGCCACCTTGCAAGCTCTCCCTGGGATCCCCAAGGCTAGTGAAAAAAATATCTTTTAAGGGCCTTCTGGAGGGCTAACAGAGATGGGTCTAACCTCACCTTGGGGAGAATGATGTTCCAGAGGGTGCGGGCTACAGCAGAAAAGGCATGCTGCCTGGGTCCTGCCAGATGGAGCTCCTTGGGGACAGGACCCGCAGCATATCCCTCCTGCCTGACCTGGTGGGATGCGTAGATGTAATCAGGAAGAGGCGGTCCCTCAAATAACCTGGTCCCATGCCATGTAGGCCTTTAAAGGTCAAAACCAGCACCTTGAATTGCACCTGGAAGCAAACTGGCAACCAACACAGCTTGCATTACAGAGGTGTAATGTGTACCTTCCTAGGGGCACACAGATGCATTCTGCACCAGCTGAAGCTTCCAGATGCTCTTCAAGGGCAGCCCCACGTAGAATGTGCTACAGTAATCCATTCTGGAGGTGACTAAGGCATGAATGACTATGCGTAGAGCCTCACAGTCCAGGAAAGGACACAACTGACTCACAACACAAAGTTGTGCAAAGGCCCTCCTAGCCACAACTGCTACTCGCTCCTCAAGCAGGAGTCGTGAGTCTAGAAGGACCCCTAGATTGCGCACTGGGTCTCTCTGGGGCAGTGCCACCTCATCCAATACCAAAGATGGTAAAGTCCCAGAACCGGAAGGCCTAAAAACTCAGAGCCACTCAATCTTGCCAGGGTTCAGCTGAAGCCTGTTGATCGCCATCCAAACCCCCACAGCCTCCAGGCACCAGGACAAGACGTCAACTGCATCACTTTGTTTGCCAGGGGCAGAGATATATAACTGAGTATCATCAGCATACTGATGATACCTCACCCCATGGTGATGATGATCTCACCCAGCGGCTTCACATAGATGTTAAATAGGAGTGGAGAGAGTACCAAACCCTGCAAAACCCCACATAATAAGGGTTGAAGGTGGGACCTCTTATTCCCAATCAATACCGACTGCGGAAAGGAAGGGAACCAGCACAATACTGTGCCACCCACTTCCAGCCCATGGAGCCAATCCAGAAGGACACCATGGCTGATGGTAGCGAAAGCCACTGAGAGGTCAAGAAGAGCAAGGACAGATACACTACCCCAAGTTACCTTCTCCACAATCTTCCCTAAAAAAGGAGGCTTGATACTGGACAAAAATTGTCCAGTATGAGAGGATCTAGCGATGGCTTTTTGAGGAGGGGGAGAACCAATGCTTCCTCAAGGGGCTGGTGGAACAAACCCTTCTCTCAGAGAAGAATTAACCACTGCTAGGATCCAACCACACAACACCCTCCTCCGGGCAGCTTAATTAGCCAGAAGGGGCATGGATCTAAGGAGCAGGTGGCTGAGCTCACAGTCATAAGGACCCTGTCCACTTCCTCAGGCCCAACAGGATCAAACTGTTCCCAGATAACCAGGCAAGACTGCACCCAGTCATCTCCCCTGCACCCGTACTAAAGCTGTCAACCAACTTGGAATGAATGCAAGTGATTTTGTTCAAATCCAAATCGAAATTCCTCTGCACAGCCTTGTAGGTAGACCTTCAAATCCCCCTTCTCCAGGAGGACTTGGGTTACCTTAAACAAGGCCGCTGGTTGCCTATCTGTGGACGCAATAAGGGTGAAGAAGTATTGCTGCTTTGCCACCCTTACCGCCACAAGGTAGGCCTTAATAGTGGCTCTTACCCGTGTTCAGTCAGGTTTGTCCCTGGTTGTTCTCCAGTGGTGCTCTAGATGTCTCTCCTCTTGTTTCATCTTCTCAGCTCCTCCGTAAATCACAGGGAGCAGCAGGATCCATGAGAGGAGAGAGGTCAGATGGGCGCAATCTGATCCAAGGCCTCAGCTGCCCTCTCATGCCAAGCGATGGCTAAGTCTTCAGTCAGACCATGCAACGGAATGTCAGGAAGAACCCCCTGCTCCCTCTGGAAGCCATCAGGGTCCATCAGTCGCTGCAGATGGACCGATCTAATAGGTCCTGCCTCCCTGTGGCAGGCAGCTGTGTCAGACGCTCATGGTCACCACGAGGGCATGATCTGACTGTGACAGGGGAGACACCAAGAACTCCCCCAACTCCAGATCACGTTGCCATTGCTCCAACAAGAAAACCAGATCAGGGGTATGATCAATGTCCCGTGTCAGGTCCTGGATGAATTGGGATAAGCCCATGTCTGTCATGGTGGGGTGGCCATGAATTCCTGAGCCACTTCAGACCCCACCCATAGGGAAGGCAGATTGAAGTCCCCCAGGACCATAAGCCTGCAGAACTGAGGCTGAGTCAAGGAGCTCAGGCAGGGAGGTTGCTACACAGCAGGGAGGCTGGTACAGAAACAACAATCTCAACAGATCCCTGGAACCCAACTTAAGGAACAGGGTCTCACATCCAGCAACTTGTAAAGCAGGTCCCTGAAAGCTGTAAGAGACTCCCAGATTACAACCACCACGTGCCTACCCCTGCCATGGATCCTCGGCTTCACACCCGGAACCTAGCTGGGCACATTTCCGAAAGGGGGAGCCCCCCACTCCTAGACCCAGCCAGGCCTTGGTGATACCCGCCAGGTGAGCTTTCTCATCTGCAATAAAATCACAGATGAGGGAGACCTCATTACAGACCAACTTGGTGTTTAGCAGCAGCAGCAGCTGAAAGCCAGGGCCTCTGAAGGTCCACTGACCAGGAAATGGGCTGAGTCCTGGGGACTCAGAACCGGTTCAAGACCCCAGGCCTGCCTT